GAGTAAAATAATTTAGAGACATGAGAGAGAAAAATGATTATAAATGGTTACAAAAGGGTTATAAAAGGCCGGGTGTGGTGGCTCCTGCCTGTAATCCTAGTTACTCAAGAGGCTAAGATCTGAGGATCATGGTTCAAAGCCAGCCCAAGCAGGGAAGGCTGTGAGACCCTTATCTCCAAAAACCACTCAGAAAACCGGAAGTGGCACTATGGTTCAAGTTGTGGAGTGCTAACCTTGAGCTAAAGAGCTGAGGGACTGTGCCCAGAACCAGAGTTCAAGCCCCATGACCAACAAAAATAAAAAATACATTGTTATAAAATACTGAGTGAATAAACTCAAAGCATGTGATATGCAGTGTGGAACTGCAACATGAACCAGGTACTTGGCACAAGCACCAAATATATCAAAATTGGCAAACATCAGCTAACATCAGTGGGAATAGACTTCAGTCAAATCTCTCACCTACTGATGTGTAATTGCACTAATCATATCACTGATATATAAAATGAAGACATGTATCTTCTATAGTACAGAAGAGAGTAATTCCTATCCTGGGATCTGTGCTCTCAATTTTGGGCAGCTGCCTCTGGCTATAATTGTCATATCAGCACTTAAAAAGCAGTGCTGATGATGGAGACAATGACATTTTCTTTTGCAATAGAAATCAGATAGTTTGCTAGAATTTCTTGAAGTTCTGTTTAGTCAATTTTCTTTTTTGTCTTTTAGTATAACCACTCATTAAGGAGATACTGTATTACAGACGAAGCATCAAGAATATACATGTGCACAAGTAAAGAAGAACTCATCTTGGGCACATAAAATTCCCCCAGAAGGAATCTATCATAACAATGAGCTGCCTGGTAACACCTGGGTTGTGGAGCATATCTGACATGAAACAATGCCACAAGGCTTAATTTGTAAAAGTAACTGCTTGTGGACACTAAGATTCTGTATGTATGTAACTTTTTGTGAGTGTGCATATGCACATGTGTACACTGGTTCTAGGTCATGGAATCACTGCCTGGACACTGTTCTTGTGCTTTTTGGCTCAAGGCTCACACACTGTCACTTAAGCCACAACATCATTTCCAGCATTTGGCAAGTCAATTGGAGATAAAGTTCTCATAAATTTTCCTGCTTGGGCTGTCTTCAAACCTCCATCCTCAGATATCAACCCCATTAGTAGTTAGGATTACAGGCAAGAGCCACCATGAAAAATTTTATTAACATTCTCAAAATATGCATGTTACTAAAGAAAAGTTCTCAGACCTCTGTTATAGAGGATAAGGAAATGAAGTGGCAGCCATCTAATACAGAAATCATGCCAGTGACTCAGGATTGTAGTGACATCACTACATTTTCCACAGTGAAAGAAGACATGAAATAGATATAGGCATGCTGAAGTAAAGTGAAGTACTTTCAGTCCTGAAAAGGAGAAGCTACATGGTAGGAAATGGAGTCCTCTCCTGCTAACTGGCATAAAATCTCATAACAGGACATGAAAGACAAAATAATGAAACTAGGCTGCTCTGGAGGCAATAGGGATAGAAGTCAGTATAGACAAGACAGAGATCATTGATGCAGGCACCCACAGTTCCCTCACCAGTCAAACAACCTCAGAATAAAACAGTAATGGAAGTAAAATATTGAACTACTTACATCTTGTTCTCTTCTTGCCTGGAAGCATGGCTGTGACTGTGATCTATTCCCAAAGTGTAGAGAGGAAAAAACCCAGCAATCATCACATCTCCATCCATGTGTGCTCGGTGCTTCATTGTAGAAAAGCAGCTAGTTCCAGCCAGGGACCCGACAGTGAGGGGGACATGGAGAAGGAGGAGTGTGAAAGCCAAAATGCACATCCCTAAATTCTCTGCCAATCAGAAAAGATGACAGGAAGTGAGGCCCAGAGTTTCAGTTATGTATATGTGCATATATGTCTTTTTTTATTGACCGAGATCTACACTATGATTCATCTCTAATCAAAGCCTCTAGTGAGTCCCTAGAAGTAATGTGTAAGAGTATTGCCAGGGGCTCTGCATTTATAGCCTTGCCTCAGGATGAAAAACATGAGTTAGATAACATGTTTGTAAACTTGCCTTCTTCACTGCAGGTGCTGTGATTTCATCCAAGACTACAGATAGTGAGGAGGCCCCAGAGACGGAATTATCTTGGTTGTAGTTTGTCCTAAGTTTGTGTCAAGGAACTATTTGCATGAAAGTCGTTTGGGATGAGGCAACTGGATTTCATGAGATGATGCCATGTCATGTGAATGGTGAAATGGCCAGAAAAGTCTATGCCTCTGAATTGTCAACTAAAATTATGAGGGCATTGTACTTAGAGGTTGGATTCACACATAACATATTCCGGCAAACATGCTCTCATTTGCAAAGAAATGATATCTCATAGTTTCACTGTCATAAAGATGCCATCAGAAGGCTTTATACCAACCTAAACTGCTGAAGAAAGACACCACTGT